CAGGAGCTCTTGCTAGGCAGGCCTGGTGGTGATGAGCTCCCTCAGCATTTGCTTGTCTGTGAAGGATTTTACTTCTCCTTCACTTATGAAGCTTAATTTGGCCGGATATGAAATTCTGGGTTGAAAATTTTTTTCTTTAAGAATGTTGAATGGCTGTGTGCGATGGCGCATGCCTGTAATCCCAGCACTTTGGGAGGCTGAGGCAGGTGGATCACCTGAGGTCAGGAGTTTGAGACCAGCCTTGCTAACATGGCAAAGTCCCATCTCTACTAAAAATAGAAAAATTAGCCAGGCATGGTGGTGCATGCCTGTAGTCTCAGCTACTCAGAAGGCTAAGGCAGGAGAATTGCTTGAACCTGGAAGGAGGAGGTTGCAGTGAGCCGAGATCACACCACCACACTCCAGCCTGGGTGACAGCAAGACTGCATCTCAAAAAAAAAAAAAAAAAAATAGGATTTAATATTGGCCCCTCACTCTCTTCTGGGTTTTAGGTTCTTTGCTGAGATATCTGCTATTAGTCTGATGGGCTTCCCTTTGTAGGTGACATGGCTTTTCTTTCTGGCTGCCCTTAACATTTTTTCTTTCATTTTGACCTTGGAGACTCTAATGATTATGTGTCTTGTGGTCTCATGGAGTATCTTAGTGGGATTCTTTGTATTTTCTCAATTTGAATGTTGACCTGTCCTAGTAGGTTGGGGAAGTTCTGCTGGATGATACCCTGAAGTGTGTTTTCTAACTTGGTTCCATGCTTCCCATCTCTTTTAGGTAGGTACTCCGTTCTGTCATAGGTTCGGTCTTTTTACATAGGTCCATAATTGTTGTAGGTTTTGTACATTACTTTTTATTCTTTTTCCTCTAAGCTTGCCTTATTTCAGCAAGATAGTCTTCAAACCCCAATATTCTTTCTTCTGCTTCATTGATTTGGCTATTGATACTTGTGTATGATTCATGGAGTTCTCAGCTCCTCTGGGTCATTTATGTTCCTCTCTAGACTGGTTATTCCAGTCAGCAGCTCCTGTAACCTGTTATCATGGTCCTAAGCCTCTTTGCATTGGATCGGAACATGCTTCTTTACCTCAGTGAAGTTTGTTATTACCTACCTTCTGAGTCTACTTCTGTCAATTCATCCATCTCATCTGCCGTCCCACTCTATACCCTTGCTGGTGAGGTGTTGCTATCATTTGGAGGAGAAGAGACAACCTGGCCTTTTTTATTTTCAGTGTTTTTTTTCGTTGATTCTTTCTCATCTTCATGTGTTTGCCTGCTTGGGATCTTTGAGGTGCTGACCCTTGGGTGAGGTTTCTGAGAGGATTTTTCTTGTTGATGCTGTCGTTGCTTTCTGTTTGTTTTTCTTTCAGTAGTTAGATCCTTCTTCTGTAGGGCTGTTGCAGTTTGCTGGGGGTTCACTTCAGGCCCTATTTATGTGGTTTGCTCCCACATCTGGAGATGTCACCTGAGGGGGACAGAGAATAGCAAAGATGGGTGCCTGTTTTTCCTCTGTGATCTGTGACCTCCAGAGGCACCAACCTCATGCCAGTAGGAGCGCTCTTGTATAGAGTGCCTGGTGACCCCCTTTTGGGATGTCTTGCCCAGTTGGGGGGGCATGGGAACCAGGACCCACTTAATAAAGCACTTTGGCTGTTCCTTGGCAGAGGGGGTGTGCTTCCCTGGGGGGAACCCACTTGTCTGGGCTGCCCAGATTCTTCAGAGCTAGCATGAAGAAAGACTAAGTCTGTCGTTCCATGGAGACTATGGTCACCCCTTCTAGGGGCTCAGGCCCAGGGAGATCAGAGTTCTGTCCCTGAGCCGCTGGGTGAAGTTGTTGGAGTTCCTGGAGGGAGGCCCCACCCAGTGAGGAGGGTTGGTTCACTGTCGGGTCTGAAGAGGCAATCTGGCCACAGTCTGCCACAGTTGGCATGCTGCACTGTGGGGAATACCCCTTAGGACCAAGCCATTCGGTCTCCCTGGGTCTAGCAGGGGAAAATAGAATAAACCTGATTCATTTTATACAACCTCTCAAAAAACTCAGGAATTGGTGATACCAAATATCTCTAAATTTGGAAGTAAAAGTGAGACTGAAAACAGAAGAGCTGCCTGAAAGCCAATTTAAGGAGTCTGACCTCCAGATTCTCTTCCACGTTTCATGCAGCTAACCCAATGTGCTTCTTGGAAGGTGGCAGAGCTCAAGATATAGAAGGCAACAGAGGGTATCACAGGATTCCATCAAAGTTTATATAGTAACCCTTTAGATCCATCACCATTTCTACCTAGCCCTCTTCTCTACTTGGCTTATATTATACATAACGTATATAAAAAATACATGGTATCTCAATGTAGTTTTGATTTGCATTTCTCTAATGACCAGTGATGATGAGCATTTTTTCATATGTTTGTTGGCCTCATGTATGTCTTATAAAGTGTCTGTTCATATCCTTCACCCACTTTTGAATGGGCTTGTTTGTTTTTTTCTTGTAAATCTGTTTTAGTTCTTTGTAAATTCTGGATATCAGCCCTTTGTCAGATGGGTAGACTGCAAAAAATTTTTCCAATTCTGTTGGTTGCCGATTCACTCTAATGACTGTTTCTTTTGCCATGCAGAAGCTGTGGAGTTTGATTAGGTCCCATTTGTCTATTTTGGCTTTTGTTGCCAATGCTTTTGGTGTTTTGTTTGTGAAGTCCTTGCCTACGCCTATGTCCTGAATGGTTTTTCCTAGATTTTCTTCTAGGGTTTTCATGGTGTTAGGTCTTAGGTTTAAGTCTTTAATCCACCATCTCACACCAGTTAGAATGGCAATCATTAAACAATCTAGAGACAACAGATGCTGGAGGGGATGTGGAGAAATAGGAACACTTTTACACTGTTGGTAGGAGTGTAAATTGGTTCAACTATTGTGGAAGACAGTGTGGCGATTCCTTAAGGACCTAGAAATAGAAATTCCATTTGACCCAGCAATACCATTACTGGGTATATATCCAAAGGATTATAAATCGTTCTACTGTAAGAACACATGCACACCAATGTTCATTGCAGCACTGTTTACAATAGCAAAGACTTGGAACCAACCCAAATGCCCATCGATGATAGACTGGACAGGGAAAATGTGGCATATATACACCATGGAATATTATGCAGCCATCAAAAACAATGAGTTTGTGTCCTTTGTAGGGACATGGATGAACCTGGAAACCATCATTCTCAGCAAACTGACACAAGAGCAGAAAATCAAACACCGCATGTTCTCACTCACAGGCGGGTGTTGAACAATGAGGACATGTGGACACAGGGAGGGGAGCACTACACACTGGGCTCAGTTGGGGGGAAATGGGGCAGGGACTGTGGGGGGTGGGGAGTTGGGGAGAGTTAGCATGGGGAGAAATGCCAGATATAGGTGAAGGGGAGGAAGGCAGCAAATCACACTGCCATGTGTGTACCTATGCAACAATCTTGCATGTTCTTCACATGTACCCCCAAACCTAAAATGCAATAAAAAAATAAAAATAAAATAATTTAAAAAAATACATGGGTTTGAAAAGACACTAAAATAGAAAACAAGCAAAAAATAAACTTTATCAGTTACCTACTGAAGTTGCTAGGACACAAACTAATTACTATGCAAATTGATAAAAAGAAAATTTAAACATTTTTTCCCAGCCTTTTCTGTACAAACTGTATTTTCGTGTAATTGAGACGTTACTGAGGAAAAGTTCTTCACAGAAGAATTCTAGCTAATAAATGCAAAATAAATGGTAGAAAAGTCACAATTTGATAATCCTTAATGAAATAGTGGATATAGGAAATGAATCATTAATGGATGCTAAAATCATTGGGTGAAAGGTTGATGGGGAGGACTACCTACTAGAGAAGTCAGGGTAATACCATCTGACCAATGATCTTTAGCACAACTAAAATTGGGACATCCAGATAGTGCCTCATGCAAGAGGAGGTAGACAATGGCAACCAACTATGAAGTTATTTTACCAAGGAAAGAAAAGGAAATAAAACAAAATAAATTGAATTTAAATCTAAATAAGCCTCTAGATCTAATGATCACTTTATAGAATATATGGAGAACTAGAGAAACAAGGTAAATGACACCATGGAGAAACAATTATCCAAATAAACATGACAGTTTTTCCAACAAATCAGTGGCATAAGGAAACAATATTAGGTCCTATAACCACAACAATCTAATGCACACCATTGAACTTGTATAAATTCTGAGCATTAAGTATTTATCTATTATTATTATTATCTATTATTACTTTTAAAAGTATCTCAGCCAGATGGGTGCGGTGGCTCATGCCAGTAATCCCAGCACTTTGGGAGGCTGAGGTGGGTGGATCACCTGAGGTCAGGAGTTCAAGACCAACCTGGCCAACATGTGAAATGCTGTCTCTACTAAAAACATGCAAAAATTAGCTGGGTGTGGTGGTGCATGCCTGTAATCCCAGCTACTCAGGAGACTGAGGCAGGAGAATTGCTTGAACCCTGAAGGCAGAGGTTGCAGTGAGCCAAGATGGCACCATTGCACTCCAGCTTGGGTGACAGAGCAAGACTCTGTCACACGCACACACACACACACACAAAGTATCTCAGTCCTTTGATATAGGGTAACTAAGTCCTGTTAATGAAATGGGGAATGTGTCAATAAATGCTAGGAATGGAGCATTTAGGATTATGTTTTCACTGTAGAGTTGGCAATACTTATCTACATGGCCGTGGTCTCGTTGTATCTATAATCTTTTAAGTGTATAGTTTTGCTGCTTTTTTCCTATCTCTGTATTTTTTTCCTTCCATCCCATTGAAACTGTTCTCATTACTGGACATCTGTGCATGGGTGGGAACATGAATGTTGACATGTCTGAGAAAAGTTAGAGGAGGACTAGAAGGTAGTCAAACAAATGAAGAGTTTTTTTTGACAAAACTACCCTTTTTGGTAGAGCTTTATGAAGTCAAAATTAATATAAACTTGGGATCACTTTCATATATCATCTTTTAGTTCTACAGGTGCTCACATAATTGCCCAGTTTTCTAAAAAACTTCTCGATGAAGATATTTCTATATTTTCTGGATCGGAAATGTTGCCTGTGGTTAAAGGAGCTTTTATTTCAGTGTGTCGTCAGATATATAGTACATGTGAAGGCTTGCAGGTGCTAATCACTTATAATTTGCATGAATCTTTAGCAAAGGCATGGAAAAAGGTAAGTATTTTCAAGCTTCGTTTTTCCTCCCTTCAAATCTTTATTTCAGATGTAAGCACCATTGTAGTGTTGTACTCTGGATGAAATATTTAACTGGGGCAAATATGACTTCTTTAGCATCAAAGTACTTTAGGGGGCAGAAGGCTTCTTAATTTGGCACAGGATGACTGCAGCGTCTTTTCCCAGTGGGACAAAGTTCTAAGACTTAACTGGGTACTACAGATTCTTTTCTTCTGGTAGATGAGGCTTTGCACTGATTTTCCTTACATAGACTGACACTCTTTGGGAGATATTTTAAAGCAATGTTTAGAGACAGCTGGATTTTTGTTGTGGATACTAGAGATCGTAATGTAGCAATAGCCATGTATGGTGTATACTAAAAAAGACAACTAAGTCTTTTTCCCCCATTTAATATGGTTTGTTTGTAAAATATGTTACATAATATTTAATTAACAACCAAATAATTTAAATTTTGAAGATAATTTGGTTCTAATTACATTAAGGATTAAACAAAAATGTAGTATAAGAGATCTTATGGGTAGTGCTATCAATAAGAAAAATAATATCAATAATTCTGCTACTTTTTAGACAAGTTTGCTATCAGAAAGAATTCCTACTCCAGTAGAGGGTTCTGATTCTGTTTCTTCAGTAAGCCAGGAATCCCAAAACATGTAAGTACAATTGATGAAACTCATATCTTTATTATGCTTGCTGAAATAAATTTAAAATTATTAAAATGTAATAGAATACTATAGCAAAAACGTTTTACAGGATGGTAAATGTGTATATATACAGGTTCAAGGAAAATTAGTTTAGAAGAACTTTAGAGTAATACTCATAACCTTTTTAAAGTCTAACAATATTTATTATACTTGGTTCATTCTGTTTTTACATTTTAGATTAGGAAACATGACATATTACAGTGTTTCCAGAAAATATGGAGAATTTCCAAATACTAAACTTGGAAAGTTAATTGGAGAGCTCAGTGAAAATAATATGTTCTCAAGTGCCAATGAAGTCTATTTATATTTAAAATATGATTTTTCAAAATATGGTGGAAGTCCATTTTAATTAGGTTTTGGCTTTGGAAAATTATTTAAATCAATATTTATATCAAATTTTAAAGTAAATGTCTCCATTTTTCTTTACAGATATCAGTAGGATATAGAGTCAGATTAGCAGGGAAAATAGATTTTTTAAACTAACCTCTGGCAACATGTTTCTGGGTTCTCTCCTTATTTTATATTTGAGTGTTGGCGTAGTCTCAAACGATAATAATTAGGGAGAACTTGAAGGGCTCTTGTTTGTTAAAGAGATGTTGAAGCGGAATTTGAATTTTTTTTTAAGGTAGGTATAGATTAACTTACAAAACAATCAAACAAAAAGCCTTATGCATTTCCGTAACAGTGTAATGGTTCAACAAATAGTTGTCTAAATATTTGCTATAATTTATTTTCTTACTTAATGTCACACAATGAGCTGCTTTGTTTTTTTGCATTAAAAGATGAGAGAGAAACATTTCTGTAGTTTAATTTTGAGGTAATTTTTAGATTTCATTTTTTAATAATTTTTATTTTTTGTTGTAATAGTTATTTCAATAGTTTTCAGGGTACAGGTGCTTTTGGTTACATGGATATGTTCTTCAGTGGTAATTTCTGAGATTTTTGTGCACCCTTCGAAACACCCATCACAGTGTACATCAAGCAGTGTACACTGTGCCCAATATGTAATTTTTTATCCCTTACCCCCTCTTCTAACTCTTCTTCCTGTACCCCCAGGGTCGATTATATTATTCTTATGCCTTTGCATTGTCATAGCTTAGCTCTCACTTATAAGTGAGAACATACGATATTTGGTTTTTTGTTTGAGTTACTTAACTTAGAAAAATGGCCTTCAGCTCCATCCAAGTTGCTGCAAAAGACTTTATTTCATTATTTTTTTGAGTGAAAAATTTTCCATGGCATATATGTACCACATTTGCTTTATCCACTTATTGGTTGATGGGCACTTAGATAATGGTTTCCTATCTTTGCAACTGTGAATTGTGCTCTTATAAACATGCTTGTGCATGTGTCTTTTTCATTATGACTTCTTTTCCTTTGGGTAGATACCCAGTAGTGGGATTGCTGGATCAAATGGTAGCTCTACTTTTAGTTCTTTTTTTTGAGATGGAAGTTTCAGTCTTGTTGTCCAGGCTGGAGTGCAATGGCATGGTTTTGGCTCACTGCAACCTCCGCCTCCCAGGTTCAAGTTATTCTCTTGCCTCAGCTTCCTGAGTAGCTGGGATTACAGGCACCCGCCACCACACCCAGCTAATTTTGTATTTTTAGTAGATAGGAGGTTTCACCGTTTTCATCAGACTGGTCTTAAACTCTAGTGTCATCTTCTAGAATTTTTGTGATTTCAAGTCTTAGATTTAAGTCTTTGATCCATCATGAGTTGATTTTTGTGTAAGGTGAGAGATGAGGATCTGGTTCATTCTTATACATGCGGCTTGCCACTTTTCCCAGGACCATTTATTAAATAGTGTCCTTTCTCCAATTGCTGTTTTTTTTTTTTTTGGGTTCTCTATTAGTTCTATTGGTCTACATGCCTTTTTGTTTATTTTTTTGTTTGTTATACCTTTAGTTCTGGGATACATGTGCAGAACATGCAGGTTTGTTAAATTGGTATACATGTGCCTTGGTGGTTTGCTCCACCCATCAACCCATCATCTAGGTTTTAAGCCCTGCATGCATTAGGTATTTGTCCTAATGCTATCCTTCCCTGGCCCCCTGATGCACCAACAGGCCCAGGTGTGTGATATTCCCCTCTCTGTGTTTATGTGTTCTCATTGTTTGACTCCTACTTATGAGTAAGAGCATGTGGTGTTTGGTTTTCTGTTCCTGTGTTAGTTTGCTGAGAATGATGGTTTCCAGCTTCATCCATGTTCCTGCAAAGGACATGAACTCATTCTTTTTTATGGATGCATAGTATTCCATGGTGTATATATGCCACATTTGCTTTATCCAGTCTATCATTGATGGGCGTTTGGGTTGGTTCCAAGTCTTTGCTATTGTAAATAGTGCTGCAGGAAACATAACGTGTGCATGTGTCTTTACAGTAGAATGATTTATAATCCTTTTGGTGTACACCCAGCAATGGGATTGCTGGTCAAATGGTATTTCTGGTTCTAGATTCTTGAGGAATTGCCCAGTGATTGAACTAATTTACACTCCCACCAACACTGTAAAAGCATTCCTATTTCTCCACATCCTCTCCAGCATGTGTTGTTTCCTGATTTTTGATGATTGCGTATTCTAACTGGTGTGAGGTGGTATCTCATTGTGGTTTTGATATGCATTTCTCTAATGACCAGTGATTATGAGCTTTTTTTCATGTTTGTTGGCCACATAAATATGTTTCATATGTTTGTTGGCCATCTTCTTTTGAGAAGTGTCTGTTCATGTCTTTTGCCTACTTTTTGATGGGGTTGTTTTTTCTTGTAAATTTTCTTAAGTTCCTTGTAGATTCCGGATATTGGCCCTTTGTCAGATGGATAGATTGCAAAAATTTTCTCCCATTCTATAAGTTGCCTGTTCATGCTGATGCTAGTTTCTTTTGCTGTGCAGAAGCGCTGTAGCTTAATTAGATCCCATTTGTCAATTTTGGCTTTTGTTGCATTTGCTTTTGGTGTTTTAGTCATAAAGTTTTTGCCTATGCCTGTGTCCTGAGTGATAATGCTTAGGTTTTCTTCTAGGGTTTTTTATGGCTTTAGGTTTTACATTTAAGTTTTTAATCCATCTTGAGTTAAGTTTTGTATACAGTGTAAAGAAGGGGTCCAGTTTCAGTTTTCTGCATATGGCTACCAGTGTTCCCAGTACCATTTATTAAATAGGGAATCCTTTCCCCATTGCTTGTTTTTGTCAGGTTTGTCGAAGATCAGATGGTTGTAGATGTGTGGCATTATTTCTGTTCTGTCCCTGTTTCTGTTACTGTAGCCTTGTAGCATGGTTTGAAGTCAGGGAGCGTGATGCCTCCAGCTTTGTTTCTTTTCTTAGGATTGTTTTGGTGATACTGGCTATTTTTTGGTTCCATATGAAATTTAGAGTAGTTTTATCTAATTCTGTGAAGAAAGTCAGTGATAGCTTGATGGGAATAGCATTGACTCTATAAATTACTTTGGGCAGTATGGCCATTTTCACAATGTTAATTATTCCTATCCGTGAACATGGAATTTTTTTCCCATTTGTTTGTGTCTTCTCTTATTTCCTTGACTAGTGGTTTGTAGTTCTCCTTGAAGAAGTCCTTCATGTCCCTTCTAAGTTGTAATCCTGGGTATTTTTCTTTGTAGCAGTTGTGAATGAGGGTTCACTCCTGATATGACTCTCTGTTTGTCTATTATTGGTATATAGGAATGTTGATTTTTGCACATTGATTTTGTATCCTGAGGCGTTGCTGAAGTTGTTTATTAGCTAAAGGAGTTTTTAGGCTGAGAGGATGGGGTTTTCTAAATATACAATTATGTCATCTTCAGAGACAAGACTTCCTCTCTTCCTATTTGAATATGCTTTATTTTGTTCTCTTGCCTGCTTACCCTGGCCAGAACTTCCAATACTATGTTGAATAGGAGTGGTGAGAGAGGGCATCCTTGTCTTGTGCCGGTTTTCAAAGGGAATGATTCCAGTTTCTGTCCATTCAGTATGATACTGGCTATGGGTTTGTCATAAATAGCTCGTATTATTTTGAGATATGTTCCATCAATACCTAGTTTATTGAGAGTTTTTAGCATGAAGAGCTGTTGAATTTTATTGAAGGCCTTTTCTGCATCTATTGAGATAATCTTGTGGTTTTTGTCATTGGTTCTGTTTATGTGATGGCTAATGTTTATTCATTTGCATATGTTGAACCAGCCTTGCATCCCAGGGATGAAGCCACCTTAATCATGGTGGATAAGCCTTTTGATGTGCTATTGGATTCAATTTGCCAGTGTTTTATTGAGGATTTTTGCATCGATGTTCATCAGGTATATTGGTCTGAAATTTTCTTTTTTTATTGTGCCCCTGCCAAGTTTTGGTATCAGGATGATTCTGGGCTCATAACATGAGGATTCCTCTCTTTCTGTTGTTTGGAATGGTTTCGGAAGGAATGGTACCCGCTCCTCCTTGTACCTCTGGTAGAATTTGTACTTGCCTATTTTTATACCAGTACTATGCTGTTTTGATAACTGTAGCCTTGTAGAATAATTTGAAGCTGGGTAATGTGATGTCCTTTTTGCTTAGTTTTGCTTCGGCTATGTGGGCTTTTTGTTGGCTCTATATGAATTTTAGGATTTTTTTTCTAGTTTTGTGAAGAACAGTCATAGTAATTTGATGGGAATTGTGTTGAATCTGTAGATTGCTTTTGGCAATATGGTCATTTTCACAATATTGATTCTACCTATCTGTGAGCATGGGATGTGCTTTCATCTATTTGTGTCATCTATGATTTCTTTCAGTGGTGTTTTGTAGATTTTTATAGAGATCTTT